TTTAATTCCATCTTATGATTTAATAAAGTTATGATATGATTTAATAAAGTTATGGATGAAATCATAGAGCTTTGAACATTATAGCACGAATAAAACTTGTAAAGATCATAAAATATTACAAAACTTGATTTTTCTTTTAAATGTCCTCAATACCATTCAGGAGATATTGAAAAAAAATCCGAGTTATTTGACACCGAATATATAATATAAGGCCACTCAAATATTCTAACTAAAGTCTATTTGATCAAGGGTCAAGTTTAGAGCTATCCATGGATTATTAGGTGGCTAGGCCAAGCTTCCAAGCTCAATCATTTTAGATTAAGCTTGGTATATGGTCTATAAATCCAAGTTTGACTAGGCTTAAAAATATAGTAATTTTTATTTTAAATATTAAAATAATAAGTTCATAAATGGAAATTCATGAATAAATTTAAACTTGTCCTTGAAAACTGAAGCTTGAATCAAACTCATCCTAAATCAATCTTAGATGAGTTCCATTAGTACCTTGATTCAGTTTTTGAGTTTGGATTAACCATGAAAGTATAAAATCCTATGCAGGGACAGGGTCAAAGGGGCTAGGGGGCCATGTCCCGCCCCAGTTGGCTTCTTTAAAATTATGTTTTTTTCTCTATGGCAAGTTTGGTTCATGAAATAAAATAGATGGAACAGAATAGTTATTCTATGTTACGAAAATAAGAAATAAATAGAGTACAATGATTATTATATAGTTTGGTTTATGAAATGAAATAGAGTAGAAATTATTATTATGACTTATTCTCATGTTTGGTTGGTAAGAATATCTTTGGAATAATCAAAGAATAGTTAATAAAATGATAAAACTACCCTTTTTTATAAAAAAAATTTATTTCATCAAAAATAAAAATAAATTCTATTTTCATTAAATATCAATAATTTATTATTAAATTATTAATAAAAATATTTTCATATTCTTAATTTATTATTACATTATTGAATTATTAATATAATTTTAATTTTAATTTTTTTTTATTTTCATTTTTCCTTTTTTTCTCATATTCTTTTTTTCTTTCATTTTCTCATATTTTGTCGTTGATCATCACAGAAACAACCGACGATGTTGGACAATTGATCTGGTGCTAGTTGTGGCCAAATTTGGTTGTTAAAGTGCCAATTTGGCATTGGCTATGGCTAGATCTGGTCATTAAGCACCGATTTGCCTAGTGGAGTCGTTAAGTCTAATGTTTCTCGTAACTAGATTGACGATCCAATGGGTAGATCTAGCTATAACCAACGCTAGATCGACACTCCAACATCATCGTGGTTTCTCTAATGGCCAGTGGCTGAGAACTTGGTGATGATGATGGCAATTGCTGTGGAGGAAGACAGTTGCAAACTTGCTTATAGCATGTTTGGTAGGGTTTCAAAATAATAAAGCACTTGTTTGGTTTCATTTTGTTGCTGAGAATAGCCATTCCAAAGAACGACTATTTCCCAAAAAAAGAGCTTAGCCATTCCCCTTCCTCCCTTTCTAGCCATTGTATGATTGATGGAATATGGTAAAAGTTTCATTAGACAAAAATATTCCTATTTATTAGATATAATTACAACGTTACCTATATATAAACCTTTTTTCTCCCTTCTCTTCCTCGTCCGCCTTTTCCTCTCTCACGTTTTTACTATTGCTAATACCTTTCTCACGTTGCCCTTCGCTGCCCCTAGTGTGAAATACTTTTTTGATTGTCAATTTGGTCTTTTTTTTTTTTGTATTGGGATTATTTGTTTGATATTTCATAAATTATTTTTTTGGTTTGTTTTTCTAGGGTTTTGGTAGCAAAATTCTTTATTTTTGTAGCTGGGTTTCTTGGTTTAAGTACTTGTTTCTTTCTCCATATTTGGTTTGCTTCTCTTTTTTTTTTCTGTTATAAAACTAGGTACTTATTTACAAGCATGCTTTGTCCTTTCTGAATCTCATGTTGATGTTGTGTTGCATGGTTGCTCTATTGCTAGTGAATGACGGATTTGAAACTTTTTGAGAAGGCCAGATGATGAAGTTGTAACCTCTTGAGGGTTGGGATCTTGTAATTAATGGGGCTGATTGTATGTAGTTGGCTCTTTTTGTATGTAAAAGTTCTGTGTTGGATGATGAATGACATTATTTCTAATATTTAGTAAGTGAAGGATAAATGATATTAGATTATGCCAACTTTATCTATGCAAATCATGAATGATACCATATTATTTTTTTATATTTAGTACGTGAATGATGATGAATGATTAAGTTATTGCTTTCACCTTTGTTCTGAACTAGTGAGTTTGTATGTTTTTACCTTTACAAAAAAGGATTGATTTGTGCTTATGTAGAAAGGATATTTTCTAATTAACGATTCACTTATAATAAATAATGGCAAGTATAACATTCATATATCATAAGTTTGAGAATTGATGACAATTTTAATCTATGAAAATAATTATTTTTTGTATGAAACTTCGTGTTAATTAACATATTAACTACTGAAATGATCTTACAATGTCATTAGTATGAATGTATATTTATATATTCTAACATAATTATGATCATTTAAATCTTAACAGGATGAAAGAATCCATCGGTTAGTAAAATACATACATATGTATGTATATGTATTGGGTATTTTTGTTTTGTATTTTTATGAAAGGATTATTAAAATATAGTCAAGGATAGTTTTAATTTTTGGTATAAATATGTGATTAAATTATAGTCAAGGGTAATTTAATCTTTTGTTATAAATATTTTATTATATTATAATTAAGGGCATTTTATCTTTTGGCATAAGTATTTTCGTCTTTTGATAAAAATAAGTTGAATATTATAAATGAAGGGTAGTTTTGTTATTTTATCATTTATTCTTTGATTATTTCAAAGCTATTCTTACTAACCAAAAATTTTAATAAATTATAATAGCAATTCCTACTCCATTCCATTTTATAAACCAAATCACATAATGATATTCTGTTCTATTCTTACTTTATTTTATTTTTATAAAATAATTATTTTATTCCATTTCATAAATTAGATGTGCCATTAGCGAGAGAAGGAGTATGAGGCAAATTAATAAGAGAGAGAAAGAAAAAAAAAGAAAATAGCCATTCCCTTCTACCAAACATGTCGCTAGAGTTTTTCTACTTCTACTTGCTCCTTGATTCTATCAAATTATTTGTATGGCATTCAAAAATTCTAAATTGTTCACTCCAATCTTGACTAATTTTCATAATTTATTCAAAAGTCGTTTTGCTTTTTGATTGGTTTATTCAATAATTATAAATTTTTACTTCTCAGAAACTCCTTTCTACATGATGCATTAATTTAGTTTCCCCAGTATACTTTCTTAACTTTCATATAATTATTTAATTAACCTTTAGTTTTTTTTTTTACTTATTTTAAAGAGTTTACATTTGGTACACAAATAATTCATAGTTTTTATACATTATCAACTCATTAACTTGCAAAAATAAAAATTTATAAAATCTTAAAAATAAATATAAAAATGCTTTTTAGGATTAATTAAACAAATATAAAATATTTTCACTTTTCTCTCCAAAATCTCTTTCTTGTTCTTTTGAAATCCAAAGAGAGAGAGAGAATTGAGAATTTGATTGGGGATTTTGAGTTTTTGCTAAAAGAGATTGAAGAAGTTGTCCATTGAGATGGTCATGTAAGATTTCGGGTTTTTGTCGAAAGAGACTGTGTAAACTCTATACATTCCATCAATCTAAATTGCAAGTGATCAAATAATGCGATTCAATCATCAGTAATTGGCTTATTGGACCCAAAGAATTTGATGCAGCGCAATTGTTGTCTGGGCAGAGTGAAGAAGGCCTTGAAAGAAACTCAACCTTTCAGTTTCATGTCAAGCCAGTGAAGATTGAAGATGAGCAACATGCTGGTCAAGCCATATCTGATGAATGCCCCAGATTTAAGTCTCACATGTTTGATCTTTCCTTTTTACGAAAAAGAATGCAAAAACTTGTATGGTCGGATTTGAGGCTTGGATGCTCAGGAAAAAGGATGCAAAAAACATCACATGCTTGATTGATACCTGGAAATTAAAACCCTTGACAATGAAAGCGTAGCTTTGCTACGACCCCCATCATATTTGATTACACTCAGATTTTAGTTTCTAAAAATTTCAAAGTAAAAAAGGTGAAAGAAATTCTGGAGAGAAAAGGGAAAATATTTTATTTTTTATTCATTAAAAACATTTTAATATTTATTTTTAAGATATTATAAGTTTTTATTTTTGCTGTTAATGATGTGATCCCTTTTTATGAGTTGATTGTGTATAGACATTATGCCCTGATAATGTATCAAATATCAATTCTAATTTAAATTAGTTTACTCACATGATAATTCCTTGTAATTTTCATTTTATTAAAAGAATATACATCAAGTATATATAGTTACTAGTTTTCGATCTATGAAAAGCACAAGAAGTACAAATTTAATATGACATCGAATATATAAACATAAATATCATTCCTACATATAGGAGTATATGATTTGTAATTAATTTGTAATGAATATAATTTTTAACAATATACAAAAAAAATATGAAAGCAAGTTAAAGGTTTATATAACAATTTATTTTATAAAGAAAGTTGAGATTAATTTTTTTAAAATTATTAAAAAAATAATGAAATAACATTATATGGTTAGATATGATTTCTAGCACAAGGCTTAATTGGCCCCCTAATTTTGATTGGAGTTCCCTGATAATGCGGTATGCACCCATTTAAAGTTTGAACCAAGTAAGGCGGATAAATAAATTACCAAAAATAGAAAGAAATCAAGATAACCGGTCCCCGTTTCCCTCCATCTTTCCTTTTAAACCAGAGTAGAGCACCGATTAGGAAAGACAAACGAACTAGGGACCCACGGAACAAGGTAACCAGATAAGTTGGCTGAGGTGGCATCATCTAAACCTTCCGTCACATATAAGCTCACGAAAACTCTGTACTACCTACTCAAATCAAATTCGCTCCAACTCAAATGCATCTCTTATTCCCTCCCAAATCCAAATTACCCTCCAAAATTTCCGAATTATTTCAATTTAATACTTCCAGATATGCTTATTTAACTGTACTTTGAAGCTGAAGCTGAAGCTTTGCTCCAAAAAGAACCCACCATCTCCTCACATTTTCTCAAAGTTTACCCGATTCCATAGCCTCTTTCAACCCTCCGATTTCTCTGAACTCAATGGATCGGGTGGGATCCTCCCGTTCCCAACGTGTTTCCGGCGAGGTCCACGTCATCATCGGACCCATGTTCGCCGGCAAGACCACCTCTCTCCTCCGTCGGATCATGTTCGAAGGCAACAACGGCCGGTGCTTTCCTAATTTCTTATGTCATTATAATTTTCATGTTAGTTCCTATCTGTTGGGATCTTACTGACTTGACATTTCGTAACTTAATTTGCATTCTTTTTGTAACTTTATTATAGAAATATTGCGCTGATAAAATCAAGTAAGGATACCAGGTACGCTATTGATTCAGTGGTAACTCACGACGGTGTGAAATTCCCATGTTGGGCTTCGTCGGATCTCCTGTCGTTTCGACAGAAGCTCGGGGAAGATGCTTATGAAAAGGTAATTTCCATTTCTTTTGTTTATACTTTTAGACTGGAATAGTTATAGATGTCAATTTTGTTTAACATTTTACAATATTTTTGGGTGTGTTTGTGGCAGCTGGATGTAATTGGTATAGATGAGGCCCAGTTTTTCGAAGATCTGTATGATTTCTGCTGCGAAGCTGCCGACCAAGATGGCAAAACTGTAATTGTTGCCGGCTTAGATGGGGATTATTTGAGGTCAACCTTTACAGTACCCCTCCTTCTATTTCTTTTTTGAAAGAGTGTTAGTATTTGATAGGGGATACAAATTTTATGGTTTGTTTGTATATTACTTATTTGATTTGATAAACAGAAGGAGCTTTGGGTCAGTGCTGGACATAATTCCCTTGGCAGATACCATAACAAAGTTGACAGCAAGATGTGAGGTGTGTGGGAAAAGGGCGTTTTTCACATTCAGGAAAACAGACGAGACCAAGACAGAATTGATTGGGGGAGCAGATGTTTACATGCCTCTTTGTCGACAGCATTATGTCAATGAACAAACAGTTGTAGAAGCTGCCTGGACGGTGCTTGAATCAAGAAAACTTCATCATCAGACTGAATCATCATCTCATGTTGAAGCAGCTGGTTCAGCTCTTTAATCACATTCTTATGACAAGAGTGCATTCATTAAATCATCTAGAAAAAAAAAAAATTTTGGGGTGGTCTTGTTGTTTTAGTTTAGCTGAATGCCTTTTTTTTTTTTTTAATTTTAACTTGAATGTGAGCCGTGCATTGCTGTGGGGTCAAATTTTTTTTTTGTTGGTCTGAGCAAATAATGTTTAAACTTTTGGAAAATATTTATATGTTGTCTTGTTTATATACATCTTAATATTAATGTAATCAAATTTTGTTATTAATGATAGTTTTGATTGAGTAATAAAATTAAAAAGAAAAATATGATATGTACTAATAAAGTACATAATTGAAATATTTTACTTAGTAATAGGAATATTTAAATTAATTAACCATATTTACATTGACTTTCAGAGAATTCATATTTTTCATGAATCTTAAAGGATGTTATCATTCACATTATAGCATAACCTATCAAAGTTTTAATTAATAAATTTTAACAATAATGGTGTAAAAAAAATCTAATGGTAATTAAAAATGAATTTAGTATACATAAAACAAAGCATGAGATTCATGTTGTATAACTATGTATTCAACATTCAAAATCATTAAATAGAGAAAAAATAATTTTATTCAATTAATTATACACAAATAATTTTAAATAAAAAATGCGGTAGAATTACTTTATTGAGAAGTGTTCTTAATTTTATGTCTCTTTATTTATTACAGGTCTTTAAACCTCCTCACTGTATTATTGAGAAACTTGAGAGGATGTTTAATAGTTTTCTATGGGGTGATGATTCTTCTTCTAAGCACATACATTGGTCGTCATGGCATAAAGTGTGCTTTCCTTCTAATGAAGGTGGCCTTGATATTAGAAGCTTGTAGATATATTTGTGGCCTTCAATTATAAATTATGGTGGAGGTTTCGAACTTTAGAAAGCTTATGGGCTAATTTCATGCATACTAAATATTGTGGAGGCAAATACCTACGCAAGCTTTTATAAAAATTCATGATTCTCCTTTATGGAAATGCTTGAAGCAGAGCGGATCTTCGGCAGAGACAGAAATTAAATGGAAAATTGACAAAGGTAATCTATATTTCTGACATGATTGTTGGATGGGTAATTAACCCTAGATCATTTTATTTCCATGCTTAAAGTCTATTATTTTTTCCAATAATGATACTTGGAGTATGTTAAATTAATAAGCTCAATATAAATATGAATATGTCTAAGAGGGGGTTGAATTGGATTATTTTAAAAATTTTGTAAACCCTTTTAATTTTAAGAAAATAAAAATCTCCTTTTCAATTTAAATGTTCAATTTGAAGATAAACAAATTAATTAACCTCTTGATCAATGAAAAAAATTTGAACTTCAAGTAAAAGGAAAATAAAAAGGTCGACACAAGTGTTTTATAGAAGTTAGGCCTTTTAGCTTATATTTTCTTCCTTAGGTTCACTAAGGAGTTTAAAATCACTATTTGATTAAAATTCAATACAATGTCTTTTGTGGATTAAGTATAACCATTTAATACAATAGCTTTTTAATTTTAAAGCACAACCACTCTACCTTTTCTATTGGTTAATGTATAACCACTTAAGCAAATATAATGAGAAGAATAAAAGTGCAACAAGTACGCCTCTTAAAGGCTGGATAGAAAATTTGGTACAATGCTTAAATTGAAAGATGAGAGCTCAATAAATGTTTGACTAGAAGACTTTTAGAATTAAAAAGAAGTACAATGAATCTTGGCTAATTATTCTCTCTTGAGCTATGTTTACAAGTCTTCTAACTTTCATAAATCTTGAAGAAGCTTGTATTTATAGTTGCTGAGGCTTCAAGGGTATTTGGGAGTGCATTTATTGTGAAAGTAGCCAAGATTGCAAATGTTGTATCGATTCATATGTGAATGTATCGATACATTTGAACTTGCTTGCAAATGTTTAGACGTTCTGCTTAAAATGTATCAATACTTTTGAGACAGCAAGCACGTCTATTGAAAATGTATCGATATATTTGTGAGACGTATAGATACTTTTAAGTTAGTAAGCATTTTGTCTCAATTCTATCGATACAATTGGGAATGTATCAATATATTGAGTTTGACTTTTAAGTTTTGACTTTGTTGAAGAACATGTATCGATAGATGCTGAAATCTAATGACACATGAAGAATATGTATCGATAGATTTGAACCAGAATACATTTTTTAGAGCCTTTTTCATTTCTTTACTTTTTCAAACTTACTTGACATTGCTTGGGGATGTTAAAGCTTTGATCTTGGATAAGTTGAATAAATTTTGGTCATTTCTTTTTGTCATTTCAAAATATAAAATTAATTAATTTACTATTTCCTTTTTTTTATATGACAAAACAAAAGAGCAAAATTTTAAAACTTTAATTTTCTAGACTTTTTAAGATCTGAGAAGTGTTGTTGTTTTTCTTTTTAATTTTAGGTCCTCCCCTTCAATTTATGTTCCCCTTTAACTTAAGGTCTCATATAAAAGATAATTAATAGTATGTGATTTAAAAATTTACTTTCCAATTTTCAGCTTTTTGTTATAGCAAAACAAATATATGGAGAGAAATATATAGAACACAACATGAGGGAAAGAAGAACGGTAGATAGCATTGGAGCACAATAATAGAAAACAACCATGCAAAAGTAAACAAGTTATGAACGAAAGAGAAATAAACAACTGTTCATAAGCATAATAAACCCTAAACCAAGGTACAAACCAAAATTGGTCATTGAAGACCATGTAACATCAGTAAATGAAATCCGAAATAAACTATAATGAATATTAAAAAATCAGCAAGTTTGCAATGATGATCATGAAAAGAATATGGCTATTGAATCCAACAAAGGCAGGGAATGGGAGGAAAGCAGCCAATGTCCCATGAGATGTACTCAAGCAGGCGGTGGAAATTAAGCATGGAATGTGGTGGAAATTGAGTGCGAAACGTGGTGAACTACTCCTTGAATAGCTGTTGGCGATGAAAGAGCTCCCTGTTCTAAGCCTATAAGGAATCCAACATGTGAATTATGTAGGCATCCATAAATTCCATAAAGGATAACAATCGAGAATAGGCTTGCTCATTATCAAAGGCAATGAGTAGTTAGAACCTACACTCGGGTGAGCACTTGGACTAGCACTAAGGGTGACATTAAGCTTAACAAAGGTATCCTTATGATCCTCATCTTCAGCAAACTCAAGGTCGTTCACTGTTTCTTTATAGACCCAAGAGTTATTGACATACACGAAGCCCAGCTTATTAATGGCATGCTCATTATTCTTCATGTGCATTGCATGCTACTTAGGCGGATCACACCTAGAGCAAATGCCCACGAAGTCGATGATATCACTAATTGCCATGCTATACAGAAGAGTCTTCCTAGATTTGTTGATGACTATTAACATGTCACTAAGGGTAAACTTGGCAATGTTGACACTTTGATTTGTTTTTATCTGATACAAAAACCAGAAGTTCTCACTTTTGACAATGGAGTAATTTGTGTCGTTAGTGTAGAGAGTGTGAGATACGATGAGATGGATGATGCAATCATAAAAAGAAAAGCATGTAACACTGGTCACATTTTTCTCACTAGTGGGAGGATAAGTGTAGACAGTGTATAAGAACTCCTGTGATACGACACCCTCTACATACCCTAATGGATTTCTAGATCAAGGATAATATCTAGTGTGTGCTCAGCAGCTGTAATTCGTTTGCCCATAACAAAAGTGCAAAACCTATCAGTGTGCTTTATAGTTTCACTATTTTCATAATCTTGAAATTTTATGGTGGCATTGAAATAAGAGACTTGAAAAAGGTCAGCATAGTAAGTGTGGTTCATGGACAGATAATTGAGCCAATATAATTCTTGAAAGTTATTTATATACAAAAAATTAATGAGCACAAGGTAGTAGAAGTCAATTACCAGACTCGACTTGACATCGCTCTTGGTTAAATCCTTGTTGAACTGCCATTCTAAGGATGGATAGGAGAAATTCCTCCTGAAAGACCAGTTGTCGGAGCTCGAGGTCGGTGATAGTGGAGGTTGGGAGGAAGGAGTCGACTCGAAGGTGGAAGCCTTGTTGCGGTTGGTGGTGGATTTCATGTGTTTCAGATGAGAGGCCATTTGAGATGAAATTTGGAAAGAATTAATCAGTGGAAGTTGTTGTTGAGGCTTAAGAGATAAGTTAATTAGAGCAATTTGGTCAAAAATCATAGCCATTGTTGAGAATTGGATGAAATCAGAGTTAGAGTCATGAAATTAGGAGTTTTGGATTTTGGGTGAAATGGAATGATTTTTTAGGAGAAATGATTGTTTGAAGTGATAAAAAAGGGATAAAAACAGTTTAATCGGGGTGGATATGAGTGAAAAACAAAAAGAGATTTGAGAGTTGAGAGAAGTGGGAAAGTGGAAACTGAAGAATGTGGTGAAAATAAGTCATTGGACTCTTAAAACCCCAAGATGTATCGATACATAGATACATCTATTGATATATTCGAGGTAGAATGTTTTATATTTGGCTACTAGACGAAATATATCAATACATTTAAAGTGTATCAATACGTGTTCTTGAATGTATTGATATATATATACGTATGTATCGATACATTTGACATAGGATTTTAATGTTGGCTACTAGACAAAATGTATCGATACATGTTCTTTATGTATTGATACAGTATCGATACATAAGCCTCAGTAGCCTTAAACAAGAAGATTTTGACTTTCAAAAATCCGTGATTTGGTCCAAACACTTGGTATAACCAAAATAATATGAGTTTTTGAGTTAAAAATATGTAAAAATAGGTTTGGAACTCATGCAGGTGAAATTTGAATAGAAAATCGAGAATTTTTGAAATGAAATCTTAGTTCACTCAATAACTCTCCCACAAACCTTAAGAATCAGATGGCCATGGCATGAATGCATGGAAATGTCATGAATAAGCATATTTATTAATGCCAAGAATCATTCAAACATTTTTGCATAAACTCATTTCAAATAAGAATACAACCAATCATCATACATGATACCAAGAATTAATTTAGACATAAATACAACCACTCATCAAACGTAGCCACCAATTAGGTTTTTTTTTTTTAGGTTTATCAAACCTAGTTCACTTTTAATCTTGCAGAATTGTTCTCTATCAAGCTATTTGGTAAAGATATTAGCCAATTAATCTTTTATACCTACATACTCAAGGATAACATCTCTTCTTTAAACATGA